ATATTTTCATCTGTGGGGAGCTCTGCGACTGTGGGACTCTGGTGAATCTTAGGAACATCATTTCCCGCGTTTTAACTTGACGGACCGAAACGTCTTATCTCACTCTTGCCTTCTTTTCTCATACTGTTCTTGATTAAGTCGCGCCTTCGTCATTTCGACTTCCTGGGTCAACCTGGATGCTACAATCGGCTTAATTATTTGTGCTTCCGATCTATTTTTATGGTGTGTTTTCGCTTCAGTTTCTAAGTTACTGCTTCATATTATGTTAAACGCTGTAAGAAAGTTACGATGTTATAGCGCAAATTCATGAATAGACGTAACAATGTCGATTTCAGAAATTAATATTAAATTTCCTTAGATTTATCCAAATAAATACAACGTTTTCCACAACTGCGGCTCCTTCGGTAAAATTCATTTTCTTGACTATATTACATTTTTTTGATGGGCAAATTCACTTATCTGATTCTGCAACGACTGAGAATTGTCTGTGATAAGCAACGCTGCCTGTGAAAGTAAGCATTCAGCGTTATTTTACCGTCATTGGGTAATCCCTCTATGTTTAGACCCAAAACGCTACAAAATGCTATATTTAAGCAAAAAAAGCGCCAAACACTAAAAGTGATGAATACGGGGGGCATTAAACCCCAATTTAGGCAACAAACTTTGCAGAGAGAACATGAGCATTGGAGTAAATCCCTAGTTCAGTGCACTCTTACAATGAATAAATATACACTTTTACGTACCAAATTCTTATCTGTGATTGTTTCCCATCGTTCTCGTATTGTATCGTAGAAGATGCAGGCTCCAAAATGTTGCACAGCAGTTGGCTGCTCAAAATCAAGCAAAGCAAACGAAATTTTGAAGCCATCTTCGGCTGCAAACAGTTTGCTGATGCAGTGATACAATCAGGCGATACAGGAAAAACTTCCTGATGGACCGAAACATTTCTTATCAATTTATAAAATTATTATGGCATAATATTATCGGATCGAAGGTCGACTCGGACCCGGACGCAATACCGCAGCTCCGCGGTATTGCGTCCGGCTCCGAGTCGACCTTCGATCCGATAATATTATGCCAGAAGTCCGATAATATTATGCCAGAAGTCATAGAAAATTATTAATATTTTTCCCCCTTCCTTTTTTTGGGTTTATACATTATTTTCTTTTTTGAGGTTATTGTCCCCGTATTCGTCACTTTTAGTGTTTGGCGCTTTTTGTTTTGCTTAAATAAGCAAAAAAACACTACATAACGGGCACTTCAAAGTAGAAGAAAAGGAGGACAACGAATGCCAAGGCTTCTTGCAAAAAATTGATCAAGTCAATTTACGAAACAACAGCAAAATGCAAAAGACTGCTAGCTCCTGAACTGGTTGACCGACGGTGGCCGAAGTACCAGATTGTATTTGAAAGAAATAAAAATAAATGGCAACGCGCACCAGGCTAGCCGGTGCGATCATGCGTTTTGTGCAATTCAGC